AACGAAAGAACACTTTTAAAAACAAAGAAAAAAATAGTATTGATTCTAGCGGAAACATTTTGTTTGCAGAGATGAGAATACAATTTTGTTTATAGTAAAATGTTTTTTTCCTACCTATCAATTAGTTTGATGCTTTGAAACGTATTTTCTGTTACTCATAAACATGTTTCATAAAACTACATTATGCTTCTGATTTTTTCATTAAATTAATATGATTGTATTTTATTCTATCATAAAATAATTTCAATATTTAATGTGTCCGATCTTTTGTTTTATTGTATTCTAAAGCATCAAGTTATTGACCGATATTTGTAAATTTTGTTATCTATCAAATTGAGAAGAGGATATGCACGTAAGAGAGAATAATATGTAGCTTCGGGACAAGCAGTCCTCCACACATGAAGCAGAGCAGCAGAAAGCACGAAGAGGATTTTCTTCTCATCAGGTTGCACAATGTGCGAACCATGTGGGGTGGAGAGAGGGTTACAACATCGTGCACGTTTTAAAAAACTCAGAAGTTTGTAAATTGACCCAAATTTCCAAGGATCAATGCGCCAGGTGTAAAAGTCAAGACGCGCGTCAGAATCTAATACATACGCGCATATAAGAAAACCTACGTCTTGTGGCAAAGTCTATTCCCACATTTTGTGGTGAAATGTATTTCATAAATGTTATATAAATATTTTTAATACTTATATGCATTAACGTTATTATTAATATTCACTAAAGTAACATTTTTCACCTACATATACCAATTCTTACTATAACTATCATATTTAACGTATTATTTATTATTGTATAAACTTTTAGCGTTTGCGAACAAAATATTCGATATAATAATATATCGAATTGTCGATCATAATTATTATAAATAATATTACTATATGTCAGAAGTGTCTAATTATGCGACAACAATCTCGAGTGTAAGATTAATCAATAGATGTCGTTAATGCAAAGTAATGTTCAAAACTGTATTCTTAACTCTTATTAGAAAAGCATAATAGAGTACCATAGTCTCAAAGGGTTTAAGATGTTCCAGAAAGTTATCAGGACAGCACGGTTAATCAAGAGTTTCCCTCACGCGGCGCCAAGAAACAGGCAATTGGGGTGCAACGACAGGATCAAAGGGTTAATGTGACAAAGGCTCATATCCTATAGAGTCAAACGTCTCGCGTGACGTCTCCCGAATGATGTCTCCCGGACTCGCAAATTTTCACAGCAAAATTTTCACAGCAAAATTTTCACAGCAAAATTTTCACTCGCGAAAATATCACAGAGTGATATATAACTTCCTGGTTTTCTAATAATTTTCATCTTTCTTAGCATACATTTTCTTGTTTTCTTATATACCTATAATCCATACTCTATTAAAGAGATTGCTCACATTAACATTTTAATTAAGTTTATAATTATAAGATATTTCACGCTCTTTATATATTTTAAGAAAATGTGAGGTATTTTACATTAACTTTTTGATTATCTCTCTTATTTGAATATTTTAATGCACAGAATAATAACAAAAATTATATATTTGTATGATAAATTCACTTCAATGACTTGATAAAACGACAATTATGAAGAAATATTGTTGTTAATCGTGTCATGTGTGTGATGTACATTTTCGAAAATGCAAATTGCATAAGCATCGCTTATTAGAATGGGTGCAACATAAATGAATTGCACTATTTATCAAGGTAGAGACAGAAGATTTAGTGAATATTTGTTAAACGTACGCGAATCCCGCAGTGCGCAAACGACGCTCGCGAGACTGAAAAGCTCATACACTTATGAAAATGCATCGTGCATTTGCTGGTGATAAATTTTCACGGGTCGAGAAAACGAGTGCAACATAGTACATTACGCGCTGCATGGTAATTAATATCGGTGTGCGAATATGCAAACACACTATCTGATTATATGATAAGATAAATCTGGTGGGCTGACGCCGTTAAATGAGAAAATATGGCAATCAATGGGGCTCCGCAAAATCTTTATTATTTGAAATATTTATTTCAAGCATTTATTTGATGTACTAATTGTAAGCAAGATAATCAGTATTATCATAGTTATTGATATCAAAAAATTAGAATTTAATTTGCTGAAAAAAGTTAATTCTATTTTAACTTTCGATTTATTAGTAGAAATGGATGTTAAATTACGTTAAGTGAATCGAAAGTTTATTCTATAACAGTATGTAAACAATTTGAGAGTAATGTAATTAAGTGAGGCACTTAATTATATTAACGCGTGCTCTGTGAGATAAATAAATGCAATTTCTATTAAACGTAATATACGTATAGCCGACATCATAAAATTAATTGTACACAGAAAATAGAGATTGAGAAGAGAGATCCCGCTTTGTCATTTGCTAATTAAATATTAGTGGCATTCGTTATAGGAATTCCTTCCTACAAATTTTGTTATTATATGTATATATAAAATATATATTGCAAACCATTAGTTGTGATTATTTTTAGTGGGTAGTAACAATTTTAATCAAATAAAGTACAGTTCAATATAGATTCATTCGTCAATCCATTCGCTTAATACACTGGACAATTCACTTCGTTCCTTTTAAAAGGATAATGCCACGCAGGATATTAGAAAGGAAGAGAATTGATATACAAGCACAAGCCTGATAGAAAAGCATTTTTTAAAGGTCAAGTTATCAGGACAGTATGTTATGCATGGAAATTTCAAAGACTGCAAGAGTGCACAGACTTAGCTCGTGATCGATAAAACTTCGATCGCTTGATTGAGTATCAGAATTTTATCTTGCCGAGGGAACAAAGTTTACTATAATTATCATAATTAGTATAAAATAGATTAGCCAATATTTTTTTTAAGATTAATCCCTCAACTAATATTTCAAACGGAACAAATAACGTTGAGAATGTTCAGCAGATATTTTTGCATGCAGCCATAATTTGTTTCAACGAGTTAACTCAGCGATATTAAATAAAAAGCAAATTTAAATATCTAAAGATACATATTTATATGTAAATATGTTAGCAATGATACTGAAAAGACTTAAGCGTCTCCTCTTATAAATTGTAAAATAGATAATGGCATCCGGATATAGTCGCAACATTTCTGAATAATTGCCTGATAATTTTCGGTCCATCAATAAATCATTCCTTACATCTTTTCATGGGAGCGGTAAACGGCCTTCGCGCTCGTGAAAAGGACGGGACAATTAGTCGGGTCTGGACGACCGATTAAGACCGTTTCCCATGGTTGGGATGGGTCGATGGCCGGCACTACGAAGTTCATAAAGGAGCACATGGAACCTTTCGTCTTCAGTCTCCCGGCACTTCTTGAGCTACCTACATCGTCTTGTGGCACATTCGGGCGATCTATTCTTACTTGCACTTAATTCTTATCTTTGTTGCGTGCATTAAACGTTACATTCATTTACGTAATTTATTTAATTCCACAGCATAATTAACGAATGCATCGTGACAGTTGGAAGAACTGTTGTTTTTTGCCATTTTTATAACGCGTGAATAGTGAGTGGATCTAAGTTTGTGATAAACACTTTATATATAAAAGTCTTTTGTCGCACACGTAATAAAAAATTGACAATAAAGATGATCGACTGGCGATAGCTTATTATAGTGTTTCTAGTGTGACGCTTAAAATATTATGTAAAAATTACTTACCAGACGGATGATTAGACTGTAGATTGTAATCGTCGACTTGTAATGTGCTGTTCGGTCCTGTTCTGGTGAATCTAACCACGTGATATTGGTTGTCATTAACTTTCACGCCAACTTCGCCGATTGGATGATCGTTGGTGCCCATATTGTAAACTGCAAAGACATTACCCTCCACCTGTACAAATAAATAATTCATTTCTATTATAATGTAGTCTTTTTGATAGAACGTGAGTAGTTTGAACGACAAGATTTTAATAAAAAATGCTATCTCTTTTAAATAAAAATTCTATTATAAATAAGAAATGTATGTAATCTGTCTCCAGTTACAATTTTCATTGAAAAATGATAATTCCTTTGTTGAAATTAGTATTAAAATAAATATAAAATTGTTATTCAAAATTGGTCACATTCAAAGACTATTATTTTCTCCAATTTATCAACTTTTTGATAATAAAAATAAAAAAATAATGCGCGAGATAATAAAATGTAGATATGTTAATAATTTGTTAAAAATAATCTATTAAAAATAATTATATCCTCTATAAATCGAAGCTTTTTACTTATTAACTGCAGTTTATGTAATATTAATAACTAAATTACAGATTAATCAGCGATTAATTATTAAATAAAATTAACAATTGATAACAGTACTGAATTGTATTATCAACATGATAAAAAATTTTCAAATTAAAATAATGATTTCATGTTATTGTGTGTAAAATCTATCATATCTGATAAATGAAAATAGACAGAAATTAATTGCCTAATATTTGATTAATTATTTCATGTAAGATTAAAGCAAAATAGATGAGATTATAACTTAGACACGATTCAAATATTGTCAAAGTTTATAGAAAATTAAATTTAGTTAATATAAAGAAAATTATTTGATTTCTAATTATTTAATTGATTTTTGAACTCATAATGCCAATATTAAACCATTTTGATATATAATTCTTAATTTAAAAATTATATGATTCAAAACGTATTTAATTAATAATATTCATACATATCACTCAATAGTCTTAAGACATTCGTTCAAGTCGCTCAATGAAAAAAATATTAATTAAATCTCATCATATACTAACAATTTCGATCTCGAGATAATCGTTACTCGACGCTGATTCTATTCTAAGCAGCACAGCATCGCTAACGCCGGTGACGAAACCTAAAGCCACGGTGTCCCTTTTCATTTCCGGTCGACGATCAGCCGGAAAGGTATATGTAATAATTCCTCTTCCGGCTCCAAATTCGTAAGCAACAGCCTCTGCAAGAAGTTTGAAAATGGTATTAATAATTTGAAATATATAATATTCTGATTAATTTTTAATTTATTAGTTATGCGCTTCTAAATCTGCTAAACTAATAATATCACCAAGATTACGTTTTACCTGTCATATTATACATGTACTGAATTTGAAGCTGTTCTTTTTTAAGGCATAACCATAGCCGTGTATCAAAAGTTAAACCAATTTAATCTTTATTTTAATTTTATAACTAAAAATGTTACATGCATTATTTTTATCGGTAATCTAATTTTCTGGAAAAATATTTATCTCCTTCCTACAAAATTGATTTTATTCGAACTATAAACTTGTTTTATATGTCTGCAATATTTATTATATTATTGAATAATCCGATAACAGCGACGGACTTCATTAGCTTTATGGTCAATGTTATTAACGTAGACACGATGGTTGTGTATTTCTTTTTTGTTTTTTTCATTATTTTATTTATTTTTTTTTTTACCATCATTGCAAGTTGGTCCAGTAAAACTTGTCATGTCGCAATCGCATGTGTAGCTGTTCCATTGCTGCACACATGTGCCGTGATTGGCACAGAGATCATGAGTACACTTCTTGCCCGGATGTAGGTTGGTGTAAACATCGCATCCTGATGTGACGAGGGAACTCGGCACGACAGCGTCAGTAATGAGGTCGGTGCTTTCCCCGCTGAGATCCAACGACGCCAGACACCCCTCAAATCCGTGACGGCTGAGAATCTGCTTTGGCAATTGACTATACTGCGTCTTTTCTACTCCGCCTAAAATTAAAAAAAAAAAATATTTCTTTGATGCAATATATTATATATGTATTCATTTTTCTTTATCCTTATAGATAGCATATTTCGACATCACGCTTTACTTCAGAATCGTTCGTATTAATGACGCGCACTCAGCCAGTCGGCCGCACTGTTTTGCCGCGTCGAGACGTGCAGAAGCTTAAAGTTAAACAATTTCCAAACCGCTAAACTCGATGAAAAATTATTGTAGACAAAAAATTATTTAAAAAGGCAATTTAAAGCTTAAAGTTTGTACTTTTATGGGCTTTTAGTCGTTTTTAAACATTTTCTATTTTTGTATTCCTAAGCTCGAAAAAAAAAGTACACTGTTTTGCAACACTCTGTACCTTAATAAAAAAATTTTTTTCGCAAAATTTATGATAATTTATGACAATAACATTTGATTTGCACAACGCGTTTTTTTTATTTTTCTATGATTTTCCTTGCCCGAGTTACGCGATTTTAAAGTCAATCCTACGTTTTGTGAAAATAAAATTTACCATCGGCAGCAATATTAGCGTAAAAAGTGCAGGTTTAGCATCAAAGTTGTATAACTCAGCTAAAAAAAATTGTAAGAAAATTAAAAAAGAAACACGTTTTGTAAGTAAAATGTTGTAATGTTTGACACCTGTCATAAATTTTGCGAGAAAAATTTTTATCCAGCTGCAAAATGTAAACGTACGTAATTTTAAGAACAAAATAATATGTTCTTTTTAGGGCTTAAAAATATAAAGATTAAAAAACAGTTTAAAGCACGTTAAAGTACAAACTTCAAGTTTTAAAATGCTTTTTTAATTTTTTGTCTGCGATAATTTTTCGCAGAGTTCCAGTGGTTTGAAAATTGCTCGATTTTAAGCATTTAAAAAGTGTTACCTATTTTTTGTGGAGTAATGTGTACTCTTTTGCATATGTATAAATAAATTACTATATACTAATATACTATTATTTAAAAGAATAAATATTCAAAACTTTTATTTACTCACTCAGAATCATATGAATCGCGCAATATAATTTGTTAAAATATAAAATTGTCAAAATACAAGCATGATAAAATAATAATAAAACAGAAAATATTAAAACAAATAGTTAAATTGAAATCATCTCTCTTGCAAATTCGCAGCCTCGGGATATCCGCGATTCTCTCACAATCGCGGCTGCTCGACAGACCGAGACGACCGCATGTCCGGTCGATCTCGCCGCCATAAATCCTGCGGGACCGCCATCGGTTGAAAATTATTTCAGGCCGTCCATCGGTCACATATTATACTCTGCTTGTGTTCGTGCAGGAACAATCGCGCGGCCAATCAACTCATATGCAATATCGGTATTTCTCGGCCAACACGGCGGTACTTAAAAGAATTCCACGAACACAATCGTTCAATTTTTTAATAATTTTTAGAAAATTGTTCAGAAAATTTTTGATTTTAGAAATACAATGTATTATGTTTACATTATATAAATTATAAGTAAAAAAAAGAGAGAAAAAAGAATTTCTGCAAATGCAATTGTTTAAAAACATTACAGCTAATAATATTGACAGGATATTGATTTTGAAAACTGCAGTCAATTAAATGTAAATTTTGGTTGACAATTTATGGACTTTTGCCGGATAAACCTTGCAATGCGTAAGCGCAGATTCGCAATTATAATTGAAGAATAATTGATGGCTGATTTGCTAATTTATGCAAGCCCGACGGTGACCGGTAGATTTATTAACGAATTAAGCAACTGGAATGGTATGATATGAATCTAATTATTGGTGATTTATAGTGCTATTCTAATGCCGTAACTGAATTTCAGATCTTCAGTGCATTTACATCGGTTTGATACGCTGTTAATTAGAAATATCCGCGTGATAAATGTTCTTTTGTGTTAGCTGACGTTATCGTTTACATATGTAAAATCGTGAATCGTCAATTTATATTCTAAAACATAACTTGCAGATTTTATATTTTTCGTAACTATTAAAAATATCATGATAACTGCAATAAAATTATAACAAACATTTTTACTGTAGTTGCGACGAGTATCTCGCATAAGTATCACGAGTGTGGCTATATTCGTTAGATAACAAAATAGCTAGAATAATTCCATAGTTTTTACATAAAGATAAGATAAGATCAACCAATCTAAACAGATTTCTTACACTTGTTGATTGTTTGAAGAACTATACGCTTGTGCAATAATGTGACGTTTTCGTGCAATTTATTTCTTTGTTATAACCTTCGAATTAATTGTGCAGTTGCGTCAAAAGCGCAAAAAATTCCGACAACAAATAACTGATTTTAACTAACAGGGAAATAAATTAACAAATATGCAGCTGTCGCGGAATCGTTAAATATTAGTAATTGTAAATTATTTTTTCTATAAATTTATCAATGATCACAAGACATTTTTGATTATTTACTTTGTATCCGTCATAGATAACTATTGTTTTGACGAAATTAATACAAATAACAAGATAAATATTCGGCAAAAATCACTCTTTTAACAAAGTCATTTACTTCTTTTCCTAAAAAGTAATAATAAACAAAATCAAATTACATTCTGTAAGTAAAGTATTGCATACAAGTAATGTCCAGTAATTCGTAAATTCACTAGCAATAAAAATTTGAAGATGAGTTCATAATAAACACCGATAAAAAACTGACACAGCAGGTTGGAATGTACATACGTCATCATGTATTTATGTCATTATATCACGATAAAGAAAATAAAAACAGAAGAATAAAATATTTAGAGCATTCACGTAGATATATTCCAAAAATTTTGATTGTAAGCGCCAATTAAAACGAAGTTATAAATAATTCGTATCTATATCTATACAATATATATATGTACATCAAAGTTAAGATTATCAGAGGTGAGTCTTCTAATGTAAATAATTGTTAGAAGACTTTATCAAAGATGAAACGATGTAAGATAATATAATCAATATATTTATTTAATACTTTATGATTTCTTTATTAAGTGCTATAAATTCTATATAAAAAGAACTGATTAAAAAATATAAAATAAAAAAGTGTTTATATACATGTTTTTTATTTCTAATAAAAAAAAACTGTAAAAATGGCAAATTTATTACTTGCACATAATTTTCAGTTACACCGTACCATAAGTTAACGAATTCAATTCAACAATAGTTGTCAAAATATAAATAAAAATATAATATTGTTTATAAAAAATTAAAAGCAATGTCTTGATATTTTATAAATTATGTTTTCGCGACATTTTTGATTATTTTTTAATAGAACATTAAGTTTAATAAAAAAATTGAACTTTTTATTATATTTTAATAGCAGTTATACATAAGTACAGCAATTTAACATAAAATGTTATATTAAATTAAAGTTAATATTAAATTTTTTAATTTAAAGTCAATATTAAATTAAAGTTAATATTAAATTAAAGTTTAAATTTAAAAAAAGAATACTATTAACTTTTAAGTTTTGGAATGTTTTTCTCGAAAAAAGTTTTCTATAAAAACACTTTATTGTACATTTTTTATTTGTTTTTTTATTGTAACGTTAAAGGAAAGATTAACTGCAGAATATAACCTCATGGATGTTTTACAAATTTTTAAGAATGGTCATGAATTGAGGTTTAACTATATCCAAGTGTGTTTCCTGTTTTCCAAGAATAAAACTCGTTTTTATCAGTTCGTTATATCGGTTATCAGAAGCGGCATTCGAGCTGTCATTAAATCGCATTAGTCGGACTCTCTCTCCCTCTCCCTCTCT